TTTTAAAGATTACTATATTAAAATATTTTCTTTACAGTGTGGTTTTCTGTACACTGTGGCGCACTCACTACAGAGAGTGAGTAAGCATGGCACGGTTACAAGCTCATCTGTTGACAGGGAGTCATCAGGGGCACCAGCGTACGCTCAACAGTTTGCGCCCTCTAAACAGATCTGCCAGTAACTATCATACATCATCACCAGCCTACATCATATTAACTAGAGTTCTAGCAAGCTCAATGAGTCTCTAGGCTTTTCATTTTCCAACTACTGTACATACAACTTTCCCCGGCAATTCATAAGGAAAATCTAAACTCATTACTCAACTCGTCAGGCGATTCTGAAGACACAATTTTTACTTCAATCATTGATGTATATTGTTCTTTGTCACAGTGAAGCTTTTAATTCTAATGTTTTCGCCGCTCTCAAAGCAAGAATAATACAAATATATTTCCCCTGAATGACATCAAGATTGAGTGTGTTTTGAATGAGTAGCTAGTACTTCTCAGAGAGAGTGCTTCTGTCCTCTATCAGATTGATACATGTACATGTATATACAAGCAAACTTGTACAAATTTCTCAGAGCCTAGCATTGAATGTCAGGTCACGTGATCTGGCTTACTAATTCTTCCACCATATAACTTTTCACAAGCTAGCAACCTTTTAATCACACAAGCTTTACACCTTTCACAGGTTATGAGACCTGTTTTGTGCAAAATCACTGTCAATTCAGGATTTCTTGTCAATATACTCATTATTTGAACTACTGCTTCATTTGATATGCTCATCAGAAGTTAAAATTGTCTTATTCTATCAGTATTAATGTGTTTGAGATCTTGATGATCAATAATACTACTGCTTGCTTAAAAAAGAGACTTGCAGAAAATGCATCACATTTGTAAAAAAAAAAAAGCAAGAAAAGAGAATGATATTAACAAGAATTCAATAAATGAATATCAAGATAACAGATTTAACATGATCTCACTTATATACATGTTCATAATCTCACATTCTTTTCACTGAATCAGTTGCAGTTGATGATGATGATTCTTTACACTTATACTCTGTCAGTGAATATTCTTCTGAAGCTTTTGAAAGCTTCATTGATAAACACTCTGAAACACTCTCTCAATTCGAAGCTGATTTGAATACAGCTTCTGACATGGTCAGGCCGGCCTCTCAATCTACTTAACAGCTTGATACTGATTCTCTTGATGAGAATAATGAATACTCAGATATCTACTGTTCAGATAAGACAATATCAGACTCACAGATAAAGCATCCTTAAGATAATACTTGAGATAAACAAGAGAAAGCAAAAGAGTTCTAGAACTCAAACTACAACTGAAAAAACTCTGTTAACAGAGATTCTCTACAGATTAATCACAGAATGTTAACAATTATTCTATTATCACATCAACAGTCTGTACAGTAGACTGACCGCCAGAATCATGAATTTCACATTTGATCTCATTTGGTCTGATCTCATACATTTCTTGATGTGAATCCCGCTGGGACTGGCTATCAAAAAAACATGCAAAGTGACTATATATCAGATTTTAAAATGAGACCATAACTTGAAAAAAATGAGAAAGTGATCTTATTTGATCTCATTTAGTCTCATTCTTGACATAAAGTTACTATTTTTAGACATTTTAAGATTTTTTTTAGACTATTTTTAATTTCTTAAAAAGTAACACTTTTTGATAACACTTAAATGAGATTTAAAGTCATTTAAAGCAATAAAAATAATTTAAATTAAGAAGTGAAAATCATGGTCTCATTTGAAAAATGTGACAAGAGTAGACAGTAAGTCTCACTGAGACAGTATGAGATTACTATCTAATGTTAAAATCATGTAATGAGATCAGTTGAATTGATAATGAGACTATTAAATAATCTGGTCCTAGTCTCAGACACGGTCACACGGTCAGTCTACTGTACAGTCACATGAAATTCTAATCTCAGTGAAAGATTGAAATTCAATCTTTATAAACTGAATAGCTGTGTTGACAAGGCAATCTCTCAATTTAAGAAAGATGTCAAGAATACTGTGAGATTAAACAGTCTAACTGACACATTTAATTACATTACATAAAGCATCTTCATGAAATCAAAACTGGTTGATACACAGTGTTAATATATAATAGAGAAATAACAGATTCAGAATCCTCTACAAAGAGATAATGAATAAGCATTATTCTAAGATATCAGAAATCAGTGACTCTACACATTTATCTTGAACTTCTTGAGTGCAGATGTCAGATTACATTTCTTCAAGTATGATGAAAATCAGATCACTTATACTCTATGAAATGCAATTGAACAGAAATACTCTGTTCTTAAAACACAGTTACACTGTGAGACAGTTCTGAAATTCATGTCTCTTGATGACACACAGGTCATTAATCTACACACATTCTTTAATAAGTTTCAGTCTGTTATTATAAAATTGAAGATGTTAAATACTTCTCTCTCAGATGTGTGAATATTTGATATCTTCTACTCAGTTCTATTCAACAATTGAAGAAATTATGTTCAGAAGAAGATAGAGAAGATACAGAATTTCAAATTCACAGCTGTGATATTAAATGTTAATCTTCTCATGAAGAAAATCTGTTTATGACTTAATTCTTCAAAAGATAAAAAGAATCTGTAGAATATAGATTCTGCAGTTAACTCAGCTATAACAGCTATAACAGTTACAATAACTATCAGTAATAATATATTAAATTCAGCCTGTGAAGACTGTACTGAACATAATTATAACAGTTTATAAGAGAGCTTCTGAAATTATCAGAGATCAGAAAATTCACCTATATATTCTGAATGTAAAAGATCTCACTTTAACATCTGTTAATTAGTCAATTCAGACAGTGCTTCAGATAATTGAAGAATCTACAACACTGTAAGAATAAAGAAATTCAAAGAAAAGAAGAAAAAGAATAGTGAGAGTAGAACTTAACTATTTATTACAGATGAATCAGAGATCTATCAGATGATAAATCTCACAGAGATTATTAATGTATCAGTCTGTTTCATAAAACCTCACAAGAATCTCTTTAACAAGTATTTATACATATTAAAAGACATTATCTTTCAGAAGAATCTTCATCTTATCAATTCATTAATATTAACTACTTCACACAATCTGAAGGTTCTACTTAATGCAGTCTGTAAAACAGCTGCAGTGATTTCTTCAGTGACATCAGATCTACTTACTGCAGTCTATTAAGAGACTGCAGTGATTTCTGATTCATTAATTAATAATCTATTCATTGATGAGGAAATTCAATCTGAGTGTTTATTATTTCTCATACTCACTAATAATTAATGAATTGACTATGATATCTCTGTGAGAATATCTACTCTTTTAGTGCAGAATACACTGAACTCTTCAGAACTTATAGTTAAATCTGATAACTCTCTGATATCTACAAGAGATATCACTATAGTGAGAAAAGCTTCATTGAGAGACAGTCTTGAAGATTTACTCACTGATCTCAAGATCACTGCACTTTCAATCCTGAAAAACCTCACACACATCAAAGCTTTCATGAAATGAAAGTATTATTACAAGGCCTGTGTTAAAGAGGTCAATCATTTGAAATATACATGTTGAAAAGAGAATATAAAGAAGATAGAAGGATAGAGGGATAAAAAATGATGTATATCATGACTGATTTTTCATTGCTACACATTTTCCAGTCATTTTTTGTACCTGTACTTGATTTGAAGGCGAATTTTATATATAGCATCATGTATAGTTACTCTGGTAAGTGGGGGTGTCAGGTCACGTGATCTGGCTTACTAATCCTTCCACCATATAACTTTCCACAAGCTAGCAACCTTTCAATCACACAAGCTTTACACCTTCCACATTGAAATGATGCTACTAAGTGTGCTGCCGCAGTATGATGCCGAGGTCCGCCAATTGCAGTCAATCTTCTATGGATTATTCATCACACGTCTCTCACATAATCTGTCATTTTTCCATGCCTTGTATGGGAAGCCTTCCGCATGGATACAACGCAAGCTCAAACTTGCGGGCATGCTGGACAAGCGGCCCCAGTTGGCTAAGTAAACTTGCCGAAACATGTCTGCCAAGCGACACCTGATAGAAACCATGGCCGCTACCTGCCACTCTGTGGTGTCCCCGACTCTGCATCAAGCACCAAGTTAGATGCCCCCATCTCCCCCAGGGTCTTTTTCTGTGTTTGAGGATCTGGAGGCTATCCAAACAAGCACCAACTGTCTAAGTCATGATTTAGTGATGTGCAGTGAAGGTGACCAGAGGGTAAATATGAGGGGTGGGGGAGGAGCTAGTGTTGACAAAGAAGAAGAGGAAGAAATTGACATGAAGTTACTAAAAGTTAGCACATTGAGAGTTGCTGCAGAAGTTGTTGAGAGGCTAGAAGGGCTGGACATATCAGTGACCTTGAAATATCTGACATCTGGCAGATATAATCATGTCTAGCTGTTGACATATCTCCCAGTTACTAGCACTCCAAGATCTACCCCTTCACCCCTCCATATAGCACATAGTTGTAAGGTTTGTCTTACATGTTGTATAGGAAACGACTGTGGAAAACACACAAACCCCACTAGTGAGCAAATTAGAAAGCTCGTACTTCGCATTCCCAAGGAATCAACCCAGCCTCTTCACCTGTATCAACTGCGTCACGAGGTGGCCTATCTCCAGTACCTTGCTCAAAAGGTACCTGAGATTCCTGCACTGAGGGTTCTTCTCTGGCATGATCAAGCTGGCCAGCCTTTTATAGCTGAGGAGTTTATTGAGGGACAAGCGCCTGAGCGTTGCGTGGCCACAGCTCCCTGAGGATCAGAAAAAGTCAGTTAGTTATTATTCAAAGTGCTGCTGATGTAATTTCCAGACTTGGGGGGACAAGATTTGATTTCATTGGAGGCCTTGACCCGGATGCCCATTGTTTTCCGGGTTCCTTTTTCCTTGATGACCTTCCGTTGGGCCCCTGCTTTCTTTTCCCCTGTGTTGTTGAAGGGAATAATTGCTTATCATGTTCACAGGCCAAATTCCACCCTCGTGACTGTCATAATATTGGCCCATCCGTGAACAGCAAGGATTATATCCTCTCCTGCTACGACCGGGAGATATATTATGATACCCATGCAAACAGGGATGAAATTCTACTAGAAGCCTTTGAAAAATGTCAGAACTGCCAAATTCATCAACTTCCTACACCTTGAGAAACAGAACATCTCAAAAGACACTGATCTATTTGAAGCTCTCAATGCTGAACCCCAGGTCCTAGTACATGAAGACTTCCATGCAAAGTACCATGCTCATTCGCAATGGACATCTTGTGGGAATTGTGGACTGGGAGTTCTCCGGGTGTCTACCTGCTTAGTGAGTTGTTGGGCATCATTCAGATTGTTCAAGTATCCCCACTAGGCTAGAATGGGGTGATAGAGGAGGAAGAGGGAGGAGCGGGACAGGCAATATTGCCAGGAGGTGGAAAAGGTTGTTCAGCAGAGAGGGTGAATGGAGGAGAGAGAATGTGTCAAGATCCTTCTGGGAGATGGTTGGCCGGCTTCTCAGATGGTTTGCATGGTGATGTTCCCGGATGAATGATGATGGTCATGCGGGGGGAGGGATGAATGGGGTGAAGAATGGGATTGTGTTCTAAGGAATCTCGTGATAGACATGCGTATGCATTGGGAATCTGCTGGCTGAAGGAATGCACCAACTACTATCTATATTTCCCTACATTTATCTTCTGTGTTGCGCTGCTTCTCTAATTTTGCTGCGAATCCTCCGTCGTCGCGGGCTGGACTGGTCAGAAACCATTTTGTCTGTATTGCTTTGCTTGAAACGAACTACCTACCTAATACAAGCCTACATGTACCAAATTGTCCAAAATCTCAAGCGCATAAGAGGTTCGATGAATATGTCTGAATTTCTTTCAATCTTAGTTTTGTATAGTTTTCAATAATTGGCCCAATTGGTAACAATGCTAAATATTTTACTCGAAGAATGTCTCCGTTGAAGAAGCCGGAAGCGTTGTTATTCCTATAGTAAGTATATAAAAATATTTTGGCTGCGGAGGGCTTTTTTGAAGCATCCGGTTTTCCACTGGAGCAAGGTCGTTTCAAGAAACATAAAAATTTCAGACACTGAAACCTAAAACATAAAATCACAGACGAGCAATGATTGCCTAGGTAACTGAGCTCTGATGTTTACTTAAAGAATTGGTAAGTTTGAGAAGCTTTTGGTCAAAACCTTGGAAGTCTACCGCGTACAGAGGAAAGTTTTCAGGGGGGTAACAGAGGAACCATGGGCAAGGTAACTAATAAATAATAATACAAATAATGTAAGTACTGACTGATGAGGAAAGCCTCTGCTTGTAGAATTTTCTACTTAACCTCATGCACAATCAATCAATGATAATCACTTGCTCTCATTACTACATCAGATAGCATGGTAGAATATTTCCAAATATCTCTGCAGATAAAATAGTGAAATTCTATGAAAAAAGTTATTTTGAAGATGCATTGTATTAGTTGTCAAAACAATTGATTCTTCCTCATTTTATATATTCAATACAATAAGTAGTGACAACATTCGTCTGTGCAATTGAATATAATCAGTATAAAAATTGGCTGATTCTCACGAGAAAGGTCGCACGGAGAGCTTGTTTCTCATATCCGCAAAAATAGAGGACAGGACAGCAGCTAGGTCACCGACCTTCGAAATATGGATAGAACCTCCGTCAGCCGCCGTGTAATGATAGCACTGACGTTCAAAAGTAAGGATATTAATTCAAAAGCGTATTCCATTCAGCATTTCGCAGTTGGGGTTGTTCTGGACACGCTACTCATCTTACCTGTATAATCTCATGAGCAGGTTTTCTCAAGCGCGAACAAGGGCAAGGGTTAATCTGCAGTTCTTTTTGATTTCTTTTAATTATTATCAGTAACTCCTTTCCCCTTTTTATTCAGTTTTGTTGTGGTGCTGCGGTGGGATTGCCCGAAAACAAAACAGGAAGCTTCGGACTGGATTTGAAACCTTGACCTTAAACAAAACCCCTGATTCTGATCTGATGTCTGTCATCATGATCCAAGGAACATCTAACCGAGCATAGCATATTATTACATACGGAGAACAGATACAGCATTATTTATTATTATTTAATATTATTATGGGGATGGCATGCACAAGGACAGGAAAGACATCCATGCAACCATCGTCACGACCCTTCATCAGCAGCTGCTTGACAAAACCAGGATATTAATAGCCACAGCCACCGTGAAGAGTTCAGCAACAGATCGGATCAGATCCCCCCCCCCCATTCTTTTGCCACAACCCTTGAAGGCCGAGGGCAGTTAGTTAGAACTTACGCTGTAACTGTGTAGGAGCCACGCCACTGAGCAGTTCTGCCTGACCAGTGATTGGACACTTGTCCGGGCGACGACATTCCTAGTTTGTTTTTTTTTTTGTTTACCGCCAGCGAACCAGGCACGTTCTGGGCCAATCCGTGGGCGTAGAACTGGTAATGGGATTGATACAAGCCATTACAAGCTTCACGAACGGCGGCCAAACCGGGGCTGTTATTGGTGGCCAGACCGTCTGTTGTTTGCTGGTTCCTGGCTTGGTTCCTGGCTGGTAAACCCTAACCTCCACTCCCTAACCCTACCTAACTAACTCCCCGTAACTAAACTATCTAGGTTAACTAGTAACTAGGTACTAAAAAAGTAACTAATAACAACGACTAATTACTGGCCCGCCCTTTTCGCTCTTCGCTGTTCGCTGTTCGCTGTCTGTTCAACAGTTCGCTCTCTTCTCCTCTCTTCCTCTCTCGTTCTTTCTTTCTTTCTTTCTCTCTTCTTTTCATCCTCATCCTCCATCCAACTATCTCACCTCCTCTTATCGCTTGTCATTCATTCTTTGCAGGTATCAGCTTCATTCCTTCAGCTGATCGCCGTGCTGTTTATTCCTTCGCTAACTATCCCCTCTTCACCCCTAATTTAATTTATCGCCCTTGTGTCTCTAAGAGAAGAAAAGGGAGAAAATCAAAAGGGAGAAAAACCACCTGCTTGGCCCTCCTCCCATCACGCTCCCTCGTCCCTCTTATCGGAAAATAAAAAAGAATACAAAGCAGCAGGCCCTTGTGATATATTCCTTCGAGATCGTTAATACCAACCACCCTCCCTATTTGTGCGCGTCTACAGTTTGCTTTCGCGGATGGCGGATGTGTAATTAACACTTCGAGCAAGGACCCGTTGTCGCCAACACTTCTTATACTATTACCGTCACTCCTTCCTTATTATCCTAGATTCGACATCTAGTTATCTACAATTCTAATTCGCTCTATTACGGAAAAAGAATAAAAATAAAAAATAAAAAACAAAAACGCCAAAAGGACATCCACCATCCTATTCAACTTTATTGTTTACAAGATATCCACCGAAAACACAACGGAAAACCTTCCACCCCTAAATCGATGGATGCGCTACGACACCTAACCGCCCGCGGTAATGACAATGACAACAGAAACGACAATGACAATGGTGGCCTAAACTCCTCAAGCGTAAACCTCCTAATCTCCCTCCTAGCCCTAATCCTCCTCTCCATCGCCCTCATCGGTTCCTACCTCGTCCTCCGCCGCAGGCGCCAAAAACAACAATCAGAACTGCCCCTCTACCAAGACCACCGGCACAACAGCAGCAGCAACCGCCGCCAACGTGGCCGCGGTCTCACCATCTCCGCCTCAAACAGAGACTCCGTCTTCCTCATCGGTGAGAAGGGCTCAAGCTCCCCGTCGTCCTCCTCCTCATCGTCGCTAAGTCCACCATCCAGCCCCGTGCCGGAGATCCGCATCACATTCCCTGAAGAGGAAGATGCGGCCGGGAAGCGGATGAGTGGGCGCGTGGTTGTTGTGCGCATTAGTGAGAAGGGGGGCATTGGATTGGAGCCGCTAGATGAAGGGAGGGAGGATGGTGGCAGGAAGGAGGGGGATGAGGATTTGCCGCCATATCAGCAGCGCCAGCCCGGTGGGAGCGGGAGCGGGAAGGGTGGTTCTACGGAACGGTTTCAGAGTCTTGACTTAGAGAGGATGGGCGGATTGAAGGAGAAGGAGATGGATGAGAAGAGGTGGGCGTAGTGGATTGGATTGGGTTGAATTGGATTGGATATGAAAGGATATACATACGTTCACGAACGAGGATTCGATTTTATCACTTCTTTTTATATTTGGTTCCGTTTCTCTATCTCCCCCCTGCCCTCTTTTATGGCTTGAGGGGCTTCGGGCTTGGGGCTTTTCTTTTCTTTTCTTTTCTCTCCCTCTATTTTATTTCTTCTTCTTCTTCTTCTTCTTCTTCTTCTTCTTCCTTTTCTTTTTCTTTCCTATACTCTCATATCTCCAACGAGTCTGCAATATTACATACAAAACTATTTATCCTTTTTAAGTTACCTCTGAGTTTCAACACCAACAAACAACACAAACAAACATCCGCGCGTGCATCCTCAGCATTTGCCTTACTTGTTAAGATGAGGGGAAAGGGACCGACCGCCCTCTTTCAATTTCACCCGTAAGGGATGTATACAGAGTATAGCGGGGGCATTAAGTTTGAAACCCGCTAACCTCTGGCCGCCGAGATCATACTAACCACATAACGTTAATATCTAAATGGCTGCTTTTCATGATCATATTACTAATATTTTGTATACCTGTCATGGTTATATAGAGCTGCGGGTCGGGGCTCAGAATACGGAGTACTATGCAGTGGATGGATGGGAATAACAAAGAGCTGGATATTCAGTATAAAATACCGTGTGAATTTCCGCCAAGGTTTGTCGCATGTCTGTTTTCCACCTCTAACAATGGATTCTCTGAATCTATCCGAATCCTTTCAAGGAATGGACTGCTGCATTACAAGCCTGTCATCAGAAATTATCACACTGATTCTTATGAATCTACCCGAGGAAGAGACAATTTTACGCTCGGGGTTTTCAAACTTAATTCGCGCTGCATTCAAGGACAACCGATCAGACAATCAAATGGCAAACAAACAATGGTTCCCGCCTTGTCATCCGACAAATTTCGATCTTAACGATTCAAACAGATTTTATTCCTAGAGAACTTGCGCTTCACATCTTTGAAAAAAAGAGCTGGATGTTTCTGAGGCCCAGACAGAGAGAGGGCTTGAAGAGAGACGCATCCCGATTGAATGCGGCCTAGCCTGGTTCGGCTCCAAATCTTACGCCCATTGGATCCCTTGAGAAAATCGAGGATGGGAAGCCTGGTTGGTCTCGAGGAAATGTGCCGCCAGTATGAACGTCTCTGACTCTTTCACCCTGCTGGAGCTCACATGAAGATTTCAAGGAGAAACCATTTGATCAAATTGACCCGCACTATGGGAGCTGCTTGGCCGTGGCCCCGCCAGGGGATAATGCCTGGATCGATTACTAAAACTCCTCCTACGGCATTCGTCATTATCATCTGATTGACCCCAGCTACAAGATCCCAAAACTGACCAAACAGTAATTGAAGACATGTCAACTAAAGCCGTCAAAATATAACAAAGGGTAATTGTCACTGACCACTATAGCAATGCTTCAAATATCAACTTTATTATCTCAATTCATCTTGAGAATAACCTCTGCTGCTCTGTAGAACATCTGACATAATATCTTGTTCTCTGTGATCTTCATCACTGAATCTGCTCTTGCCAAAATCTGTTATAATAGAAAGACACTGTGAGCAGGGAATTCACTGACTCTTGTAAATGATACAGTCACTGAGAATCTTTCTCAGTGCAGAGTGTGTCAACTCAGTCTCTTCAAATACTGAGAACATATTAGAATTGTCAATCTCAAAAAGCATGTTTCTGAATTGAAGATCTGTATGCACAATGTTATCTAAATGTAGAAAGTCAACTTCTGCCAGAATTTATCATAATAAAGATTTTAAAAGTTGTAATATGTCGGATTCCCTCTCTACGAGCCGACCGCTTCCGCCTAAGCAAGGTGTTCGCTGATCGCTTGGCGAACACCTATCACACATAAAAAGCCGCATAATAGATAGATCTCGATAATCAACCAACCTTTCACCTTCATCAGTATAGTTAGAGTTATAGTAAGCTGAAAATTAAGCATCTGTTTCAATTTCAATTTCAATAATTGTTGAACAAAGTATATATAAGTGCTATTTAAGTCAATCACTTCAAATGAGTTACATAGTTATTGAAAGAGATTTTTGCTCAGATAATCAGATTGAGATTGAATAGAATTGAAATAGTGTGGTTCGGAAGAACGTACGACCGCCGGATAATAACGCGGCCGCTTCTGAACATGCTTATGAATGTAAAGAGGCTCTAGCGGCCACTAATTAATTTAGATAACATATATAAGAAGCCGGCATACATCTGTAATTATATACTGACTTAAGCAATCTTTGAATCACATCTGATAGCATGTCTAAAAACTGGTGAGAAGTACAGACTTCTTCAGAGTATGATAATTTCATCTATAAAGTAATTCATAGTTATCATGTCAGTGTGATTCTAGAACATCTCAAAAGATAGTGTATAAAGAAGTAGTAAGCAGAAGAGTATCTGATTGATACTACTCTACTTATTAAGAGAAAACTTCACACTCAGATAAATACTATGTATATAAACAGATGAGATGTGAGAAAGAGAATATAAGTAATAAATCAGATTTAAAGAAGATTACTCTCTACTCAGAAGAATAAAAGAAGAGTATTATTATTATTATTATTATTCTTCAATTATAGATGTATGTAGTCAGAGACTATGACATCTATCTGAGAACTAAAAGTTCTCAGGGTTTTTCCTATATCTATAAAGTTAACTATTATATATTCATCAATTTTAGATATATAAAATCAGAAAATTTCAGCTTAGAATATAAAAACTGTTTATAAATTACAGTATTTTAACATCTTCTAATACTTTGAAATCATTTGATATGATAAAAGAAAAGAGAACACAGTCTTAAAGATAAACACATTAAATAGATAGATAGAAATAGACTGGCTGCTAGAATCATGAATTTCACATTTGATCCCCTTTAGTCTGATCTCATATAATTCTTGGTGTGAGTCTCACCAGGACCAAGCCTTAAAAAAATCTGAAAATGGATCATTTCTGAGAGAAATGATGTGAAAAATGACCAGATTTAATTCAAGAACAGTGAAATGAGAGTAATTTCTCAGAATAAACTGTGAAAGATGATCATTCTTTCAAAATCAGAATGAGACTGAGACTGAAGATCAAATTCAGTCTCATTCAGTTTATTCAGTGATTGTTTATATAATCAGAATTTGATAACAATTATTAATAATACTTATGAAACAATTAAATACATTCTTGTACAAGTTTATTCTTCACTTTCTTATGAAAACTACACTTCTCTGATATACTGTAATCAGAGATATTAAACTGTCTGATAATTCTATATTTTATAATTATAAGTTTCTTGATTATTTCTTCTTATAATTATCTCTGATGATAGTGATAAATATCTCAGCTTGAGTTGAACTTTTACTCTATTCTTATCTCTATTAATGAAATTATTAGAATATTATACATCATCAGTGTAACAGTTGAATATATACTCTCAATAATTTTTTATAACTCTAGAATTGATTTAGTGTATAAATTTATTGAATTATCTTGAAAATAGCAGTCAAATTCAGTTTTATAAGTATATAGTTTTATCTGATTTTCAGTTGTAATCAATGTATATAAGTTCTGTTTCAAAGTTAGTATTATAGTTCTATGTGATATGAAGTGTTATCAAAGATTATTACTTATTAGAGAATTATATTTCACTGTCTTTACATCTTTAATATCTGCTTATTCAAATCTCTGATAGTTGATATTATAGTAGTCTTAGACTAATTTAACATATGAGTCTTATTTCTCCTCTATTCAATCTTGAGAAGTGTAGATATTAATTTAACAGAAGAGATCTAGTAGAGCTACTATAGTATAGTACTCTGTAAAAGATTGTTCAGTTTTGCTGTAGTAATATACCAGTTTATCTCTTACAGTAATAATAGCCTGCACTATAGTATTATCTCAGACTGAATTTCTTTTTAAGTGATTCAACTGCTTCTCAAGATAAGTAAATAAACTGTTATACACTCATCAGGCTGACTGCAGCATTGATGTATGAGTAATTAAGACTGTCTTTATTATCTTATAAAACTGAAACAGTAAATCAATCACATATTTCAACTGAGTTCACTTTATATCTGAAAGTTTCAATATCTGAATCTTTTCCTGATCAGAGTGTTACACTCAATGATCAATCATCTGATACAATTGAAGAGTCTGAACAGTCATCTCATATGTTAAACTTCACTGTGTTCTAATATTCTGTATTATATTCAGTGATGTGACTGATTTGTTTATTTATTAAATATTATGAAATTATTATTGTTATTTAGAGAAGATACAAATCATATTAACAATGTTTTAAATCTGTGATATTTAAATTATTAGTCAATCTATTCAAAATTAATAGTAGTGTTATTAAAAAGCATTATTAAAAAGCAATATTAAAAAGTGTTGTTAAAAAACATTATCTTTTATAAAGTAAATATATAAGTTACTTGAGTAATCACTTTCATCTCATTCTTATTTCAAGAATCAGTCATCTCATTATTCTTTATCTTAATATTAAGATTCTTTATCAGTGTTTGTATCACAAGTTAAATCACATGAGTAATATAGAGAATATGACCTTGTTTATTATTTCAGAAATGCAAAGTCAATTTTTGCTCTAAGCTGTTTATTATAGTATAGTTATTTACAGTATTATCAGTTATAATTGTAAGAAAACTGAGACTAATATCTTAATAGTCATTTTTAATCACAGTTATTAATATCTCTGTTATATAATTCTCAGTATTCTCAGTATGACTACTGATCAATGATTTAAATTCAATTAATATCTCTTAATAAGTTCAGTTCTCATCAATGTAATAATATATAACTCTTATAAATGTAAGATTATTTATACTAGTTCATGCATTCACTGTGAGAGACACTCTTCAAAGATTCTTCAACTCTGATTCTAAATATTATATATTAACTTTGTAGTGTATCTCAAGATTGAACTGAAGACAGAATTGATGTGAAATATAAAGATTTAAATTAAGCATTTGAAGAAGTGTTCAGAATTTGAGATTTTTAATTGATTGAAGAGAAAGATTCAGAGATATATATATATAAAGTAATTATTCACAGAAGTTATCAGATGAGAGTTATAGAATCAGAGTACTGATATATAATTATTTTTACATAATTTTCTTCAAATTAAAAAGTTAGTATTATTAAAAATCATTATCTGATAGAGTAACTTATCAGCTCAGTAGTAATTTTCTGATTATTTTTCTTTTATTATCTGTATTCTGATGACTTCAGATATCAGAAAATTTCTTCAGAGCTATAATCAGTTTATAATGAATATTTCTGAATGAAGTTGCAGTGATTGTAGTAGAGAGATGACTCTTCAGTAATCTACAATATAATCTATTAATAATTATTTCATAGTTCATCTCAGTATTTGTGTTAAGTTTTTCATAAATTTTATAACCTGAAATCAGATGTGAAGAATGAAGTGATTATTTATTATAATTGAAAGAGAGTATTCTGTATTAAATTGTAAACAATATAGATTTTATAATTTATAGTGATTTCTTAAAGAGTTTATAAATCTTCAATAGAAGTAAAAGAAGTGAAAGAAGTGAATTCAGAAGATATAATAATAATTTAAGAAAGATAATAATTTATTTTTAATAACTGATCACTGATATGT